CAGAATCTTGCCAGAGATCTCTGTAACCACTAACTCCATTCTCGATGTCGTCGCCTCCATTCGTAGAACCAACTATGCGTCGTCGTTTCGGTTGAACCAGCAAGAAGAACAGATTCACTCTCCTTCTTCTTCTTTTAGCTTGCAGCTTCATTCTCGAACTTCGGTCAGAGGAACTGAACACTCAGACTACAAGTCACTGACACTAGCAAGACTCGACCGTGACTCAGCCCGAGTCAAATCTCTCACGACCCGTTTAGATCTAGCCTTGAACAACGTGTCACCAGCAGATCTCAAACCCATTACCACAATGTACACCACAGAGCAAGAGATCGAAGCTCCTCTAATCTCCGGCACGACTCAAGGAAGCGGCGAGTATTTCACACGCGTCGGAATCGGAAACCCCGCGCGTGAGGTTTACATGGTGCTCGATACCGGAAGCGACGTTAACTGGCTACAATGCGCTCCTTGCGCCGATTGTTACCACCAAACCGAACCAATCTTCGAACCAGCCTCTTCCTCTTCTTACACAACTCTCTCTTGCGACACTCCACAGTGCAAGGCTCTCGAAGTCTCCGAATGCAGAAACGCCACGTGTCTCTACGAGGTTTCTTACGGTGATGGTTCTTACACCGTCGGTGATTTCGCCACCGAGACATTCACCATCGGTTCTGCCTCCGTCGAAAACGTCGCCGTCGGGTGTGGACACAGCAACGAAGGCTTGTTCGTCGGTGCCGCCGGTTTACTCGGTCTCGGCGGCGGGTTGTTAGCTCTGCCATCGCAGCTCAACACGACGTCGTTCTCTTACTGTCTCGTTGACCGTGACTCCGACTTGACTTCGACCGTTGAGTTCGGGTCTGGTCTACCTCGAGACGCCGTCGTGGCTCCGTTGCTCCGAAACCACCAGCTCGACACGTTTTACTACCTTGGACTCACCGGGATAAGCGTCGGCGGCGAGATGCTTCAGATTCCGGTGTCTTCTTTCGAGATGGATGAGTCAGGAAGCGGAGGGATCATCATCGACTCGGGAACCGCCGTGACTCGTCTCCAGACGGAAATCTACAACTCGCTCAGAGATGCGTTCGTGAGAGGGACGACGGACCTGGAGAAAGCCACCGGAGTAGCGATGTTCGACACGTGTTACAATCTGTCGGCTAAGACGACGATAGAGGTTCCGACGGTGGCTTTTCATTTTCCCGGTGGGAGGATGTTGGCTTTGCCGGCGAAGAATTATATGATTCCGGTTGATTCGGTGGGGACTTTCTGTCTTGCGTTTGCACCGACGGCGAGTTCGTTGGCGATTATCGGTAACGTGCAGCAGCAAGGGACACGTGTCACTTTTGATCTGGCGAATTCCCTCATTGGATTCTCTTCAAATAAATGCTAGCTAAACGTTACTCTCGAATCTATAATTTTTTAATCATTGTCTTTGCATACTGTTTTGTTACTGAAGATATAGAAGTGAACATTTCGGTTTAAGGTTCGGTTCGGAATGTTTATTTTTGGTTTCGTTGGTTCAGAAAAAATACCGAATAAACCGAAATGGATTTGATTTGATGATTTACACAAGTTTTGGTTTGGTTCAATCCAATTTAATGTCTACCCCACCAACCTGTGTGTTCCTGCAATTTAATGTCTACTCACATGACTTTACCAAATTTGGAGAGCAGAAGAACATGATTCTAGAGCTTAAATCTTGTTTTGCTTGAGACTCAGGAGCAAGAGAGATCAAGAAAATACTAAAGCATACCCTCTTGTCCTCTAGAAACAGTTCATAACTTCCATCACAGAGACAGATTTCAAAGTCCCTGCAACTAATCTTATAGTAAAGAATCATGCAAAGCACTCCACACTTATACTCGCTTGGCATTTGAAATGGTAAACATGAGTGACTCAAATTCGAAACAGCAATCTAAAGCATAACAGGTCAAACCAAAATAGACACTGCAAATCAAATTAGCTTAATAAGATTGGTAGATAACGAGGAGTAGATAACATTCTTTCATTAGGAGTTTAGAAAGGCTAGAAATGCAGCAATCTAAAGCATAACAGGTCAAGCCAAAATAGACACTGCATAAACTAGTCTCATAAGGAAGTTTCTAAGCAAAATACTATCCCTTGGTTTTTCAGCATTTCCCCGTCAACGATTTTCACTTATCACTACTTAGTTAGACTCTACCAAACTCTTAAGCTTCTTCTCATACCTATACAATGGTGAAGCCAACATCATCGCCATGAAAGAATGGTGTCTCTCTAACGATAAGGAAAAGATCTCATGTTGATGTTGTAACGATTAGCCAGTTTCTCAGCAACACCATCGTGAAAGAGTTTATACATCATCTCAAACTTCTTGTGATGCGCTGTCGCCGTCTCAGATTGCTTAGTAGCCAGCTTCTCTGCCTCATCAAGCTGGTTCTGAAACACAATAAAATACATGAAAACATATTCAAAAGAGCACACAAGTCCACAACAACAGAAGAACAATACAATCACCATCATCAATCAATCCCATGCCACAGAAAGAGAGAACAAAAATTGAAACAAAACCAAAACACACAAGTCCACAACAACAGAAGAACAATGCAGTCACCACCATCAATTCCCCATGTCACAGAAAGAGAGAACAACAACACACAAGTCACCTTGAGGACAAACGCAGCTTCAGCAGTATGTTTCTGAACAAGCCGCTTAATTTTCTTGGCGTTTTCGAAATCAGGATCATTCGGGTCAATCCAGCGACAAAGGACCCTTCTACTGGGCTCCTTTGGGCGATCAGCAAACATCTCAGGCTTAGCAGGCTTGGCTCTCACAGGCCTAGGAATTCCAGCAACCATGAAAGGAAATTGCGACAAAGTATCGAGAATAGCCTTTGCCTTTTCTTCAGTCTGCATTACAACCAGAACACCCATTGGAATCTCCTTTGGACCCAAGTAGTTTGGTACTAAGATCACATCCTCGACAGTCCCAAACTGATTGAAAGCAGATTCCAAAACCGACTTTGAGGCAAGAGGCGTGAGTTCGTCTACAAACACAGTACGCTTGACTTTCTCAAGAAACGCGTTATACTTCACTTCTTCCTCATTAGCCATTCTAGTAAAATTACAGAGAAAGAGAACAAATTAGTTCCGATAGAAACCTCGAAGCAAAAGATCAGGAACCAAGTAAACATCACGACATAGAAACTCGAAGCAAAAAGCGCTGCAATTTCCATTTGCTACGAAAATTCTGTAAACGAAGAACAAAATCCATGGCGAAAATCTAGGGTTTCGGTATCTTCCTCGTCCCAAATCGGCTTCTCACACAGATGGAGAATAACCAGATACTAGCAAAACTAAGCACAACATTGAAGAATTGAAGCATAGAGATCGAAGTATTACCTCGACTACAGAGAAAATCTCGACTCTTCGGAAGAAACCGGTGCTTGAGACGTTTTTGGGGGAAACAAAATAAAAGAAAAATGAAGTTATAGAGGGAAAGAAATACATTATTAAAGTGTTTAGATAAATATATTAGTGTCACTTGAACAAAATGGCCCGTATAGCTCAGTGGTAGAGCGTCAGTCTTGTAAACTGAAGGTCCGTAGTTCGATCCTGCGTGTGGGCACTTTTTTAATCTATAACCTTTTTTATGATAAAATTTTAACCCACAAGTAAAATGAAAAGATCTACTGAGTTATGCAACTTGTTATTTTTGTATATCAATTTTTTGTAAATTTTTAATAGAAAGAAAATCTTTTTCCGGATACTTTTTCCTTTGGTCATAGTCGCACAGTTGGGTGAGTATAACCCATATAGTGGTGCACCACTTCATGGAATTTTGGTTTTTAGGTAGCTGTCTTTTGCTTGAAGAAAATTTATTAAAACGAATAATCATACTTTAATACATTCTAAACTTGATTTTTATCTAATTAGTAAATTTAATTGTTTTAAATATTGATGAAGTAAAAATGTTTGAACTTTGGACCCAAACGTGCAACCAATTTCCTCTAAGTGGAGAGGGTACCTCCATACTTGCCAACCATTTACAATTTGATTGTTTTACAGCAAAACATGTTTATGCTATACATAAATGTCTTATTTGAGAATAACTTGGTGGTGTATTCAACTAGGGATTTTGAAGAATCCGATGGATTTTAGATTTAGAGAGATTTTAGGAGATTTGAAGGACTTTTAGAGGATTTAC